GCCCGGCGGACAAGTACCGCCGCGCGAGCTCATGAAGCAAGACTCTCCTGACTTGCAGATGATTGCCCCTCCTGATAACGGTAATGACACCAAGATGTCTCCGCCGCCACCGCTTCCGTCAAGTACGAGTACGCTAGAGCAGCAGCACCCAAATGCACCCGGACACATGCGTTCGGCCAGCGGTGGAGGTGGAGTTGGGGGTGCAGGGCATATGCGAATGCCTTCTATGGGCAACAGCGGAAATCCTGGCGCGATGACTGCGTCGCCGGTGATCAACCAGCAGATGGCGAAGATGTTGGAGCAGAAGGAGCGGGCGAGGCAGAGTAGCGGGGCTGGTCCCATTCCACCTCCCAATATGCCGCAGCCGCAGCAGCACTCGCCGGTTTGGCAGGGTCGGTTGAATTGGTCTGGGACGAATCCGGCAGGTGGGGCGAGGGACGTGACGACCTATGTGGTTGCGAGCAGTGCTAATCGTGACGCATGGTACGTCTCTTTCTTCTTCTGCTTTCTATGTTACTAATGCTGTTTGACAGCCACGCTGAGACATGGCCTCTCATACTCAACTTGACCCTCACCGATAAGCACGCTGTCTCAATCGAAAGTCTCCAGCTGTGGATGAAGCGGGTGGAGCCAGCGATATGCACATTCAGATGCAACCCAACGCATCCAAATGTACCAAACAACGAAATGTCTTACAAGGCCCTCGTTGCGATGTTAATCACGAAAAACTTTGTACGTGCCCCCTTATGACCTCATCTAGCGTAATCTGACTCTCGGTGGACAGTATTTTGTTGCCTCTTGGACGTTACCGAACGGCAAAGTATCGGCCAACGTGCTGATTTTCCCTGTTCGCAATGCAGGCTTGATAGGCGCGTTCTTCCCTTTGACGGGTATTCCCGAACTGCCTCAAGATCTCGCTGGAAATGTTTCCAATCCCAACATAATACCCAACCCGAACCCCATACATCCCGCCGCCGCCCTTCCCGCTTCCGGGCCATCATCCCATGCGCCGTCCGTGCCCCCTCAAGGAGCTGCCGCTGCCGCTGGTGCTAACAGCGCATCTCAATTAATGGCAAACATTGACGCGTTCATGCGCCAAAACCAATTCCCGTTGCCTCCTCCGATGATTGCGCAGCTCGCGAAGATGAACCCGCTCGAACGAAACAAGGCGATGGCAATGTTGCTCAGGTCACAACAGGAGAAGGCTCGCCAGCGGTTGCAGCAGCAGCAGCAGCAACAGCAGAATGGTGGGCCGGGCGGAGGAGCTGGAGGCGGGATGATGGGTATGCCGCCGATGGGGATGGGGTTGGGATTGGGATTGGGAGGACCGCAGATGGGTGGTCAAATGCAGCCGCAGCAAAATCAAACTCAACAACAACCGGATATGAGCGGTGGCTTCAACCCAGCACAGTTTGGGTTAGGTTTGGGTGGGATGGATGGCGGTGGTGGCGGAATGGGCGGTGGCATGTCGATGGGCGGTGGAACTCAAGGGATGTTCAACGAGCTCATCGCGGGTCAGATGCCGAGAAGCACCAGCAATCCGGGTGGCGGCGCTGTTAGTTATCAGATGATGCAGAGCTTCATGCACCGGAATTCGGAGAATGCGGGGAGCTAGACGATCTGAGAGTTGTGCGAGTCTTTGTATTGTATTTATAGGTCTGAGCTCATTTGTATATTACGCAATGCAATGGATAGAGTACATATCGAGTATTCTGTGAATGCTTTATATGCAAATTCGCAACTCGAAGCTTGGTCAAACCACGGTGCTGATACGTGAGGAGGATGAAAATTGCCTTTTTGGACTGTCACTCGTTGCCCTCAAATTCCTACCTAGGTGTTCAGGTCCTCGGCATGTGCTTGTAACTGGTCGAGATAGCAATTGCGGACTCGGACAATCTCCTGCAAGACATTTGGTCCCCGCCTGCGGTCAGGTGGAGCCCGTTGAGAACGGAGACTCTATAAGGCTGGGCCGCTGGCATAAACGGTGACCACTTTATAGCACTCTTGCTCTGCCACGGGCTTAATACCGCGATCGTGGACAGTTCGTTCCCCCGAATGTCGCATATCTTGGACTTCATTCAAGGGACGGCTCCGGCGCCAAAGCTTCTGTGTTCCTTTTAAGTGCTAAATGCGCGTCTCTGGTTCGGAGTTCCTGGTCTCGTCGTGCAAAACCCAATGCTCACTGTATTCATGATAAGAGTGCTTCGATTTCAATTCTGCGAGCACGTCGGGTTCAATGCAACAGAGCGAGAATATCGCCAGTCTATTCACGGAAAAGAAGACATCTAAATCGATTTTCGGCGTGTTCTACTCATCCGAAGGGTTTTCCGGCTCTGGCCAAAATATCCGGCGCCGCAGCTTAATAAAGCAGAAAGCTTCTTCCGAACCTTCAAAGTCTAGCTGGGCTCGTACTCCTCGCTTTGAGCCCCCCACCTACGTACATGGCTACTAGCATCTTGCTACCTTTGGCTCTCGGTCTCGTTTATATCTTCGTATGGTTGCGAAAGGTGGGATCTCGCGAGCCAGGGCTGCCACCCGGTCCTCCAACTATGCCTCTCCTCGGGAACCTGTCCATATTTCCGAAGGAGTTTGCTCATTACAAGTCGGTGTTGTATATCCAAATCGCTTTCTATCCTGAACTTGTACTTCCAGATTCACAGAATGGGCTCGAACATACGGTGGAATTTATTCTGTGAGTTATCAAAACCAACTATGTATTTGTTATACTCACTGTCGCCGCAGCTCAAAGTCGGCCGTGGCACTGTCATAGTGCTCACCGACGCGGCGACCGTGAAAGAGCTCATGGATAAGCGAAGTGGCTCCACAGCTGATCGGCCTCCTATGCATATCGTGGACGTGGTCACTGGAGGGTTACATATGGTAAGTATCTCTCTCATTCCTTCTCAACAAATATAGCTAAATTTTTCCCGTAGGCGCTTGAAAGATACTGTTGGTCTTTATTTTGTTCACCCAAGTTAGAGGCTGCTAAAAGGTGGCATCTCAGCGGAAAGCTGGAGGACACTCCGAAGGACAGCGCATACCATTCTGACGCCTCAAGCGTCCACGAAACACTTACCCATCCAGATGGCGGAAGCTTCGCAGCTGCTTCACGATATATTGTGTCGTCCTGAGGTTCGCCGTGCTCATGCATTTCACGCAAGCTTCAATGCTTATCGTTCTGCCACAGGGTTTTTACAACCACATCCGCCGATATGCCAGCTCTGTCATCATGTCGGTTCTCTACGGCAAACGTGCCCCGCGATACGAAACCCGGGAAACGACTGCATTTTTCCAAGTTCAACAACATTGGCAGGGGGTGTTGGAACCCGGTTCCACGCCTCCAATTGATCTAATTCCAATCCTGAAATACATTCCCGAACGATGGGCGAAGTGGAAACAAGATTGTGCAAAAACGCGGAAGATGCAGCGGAAGGTGTATTTCGGCTTGTTGGACGAGACGAAGGAACGAGTGGATCAGGGAGAGGAGAATGGGTGTTTCATGGAAGAAATTCTGGTGAGGGAAGTTGAATTGGGGATGAATAGGGAGATGACGGGGTTTGATTCCTTTCTTGTTTGGCGGACGAGAGCTAAATTGAAGATGAACAGATATCTGGGGGGAGTTTTGATCGAAGGCGGATCGGATACTACGTCTTCCTATCTGCAGTCTCTTATTCTAGCTTTGGTTGCATACCCAGATGCCCAGCGAAAGGCGCAAGAAGAAATCGATCGTGTCGTCGGCAGTCATCGGATGCCCACGTTGGACGATCTTGAAGAGATGCCCTACATTCGTGCAATGATCTTGGAGGTATTTTCCTCTTCCTCATATACTTAGCAGCGACGCACAAATCAGCACACCAATAGACCCATCGGTTTCGCCCCGTCGCGCCTATGCTTCTTCCTCACGGCGCGTTGAACGACGAAGAGGTAAGTTTCTTTGGTACCCTCACATATACTAATCTCAAGTCGGTATATTTTCAAGTATAAAGGGTTCATCATACCTCAGGGATGCACCATTTTCGTCAACATATGTGCGTCACGACGGCCGAAACCTCATACTCAGCCTCTGACAAAAACAATCTAGGGGGTATCTTTCACGATCCAGGTAAATTCTTCTTCTCTTCTCCGAGGAGTCCATTCACTGTTTCACAGAATTGTACGATGACCCCGAGGATTTCATTCCAGAAAGATATCTCTTGAGCGAGAATGGCACTAAACCCGGCATCGGCATCGATGGGAGCGATTTACGGCCGAATTTGCCTTTCGGAGTCGGTCGAGTCAGTACTCTTTGCCCTGTCCCTAATAATTCTGCTGACCGACGACTTGAACGCAGAGGGCTTGTCCAGGGATTCATCTGGCACAGAATTCTATCGTAAAACAACTGTCTTTCTGCAGGGCTGATTTGATCATTTATGTTGATTTTGCATAGAACATCAACGCTATGAACTTTGTCTGGGCATTCAATTTCACGGCAGACATTGACGCGCAAGGCAATCCTATTCTATTGGATACGTTTGACTACATGAAGGTGATTCGAGCTTTGTAAATGTCGCGTCGCTGGCCCAAGCTGAGCTTCGTAGGGGATCTTGACTGGCCCTCGGCCGTTCAAGTGCAAGATCACTCCTCGTTCAGCGGAGAAAGCCGAAATCATTGAACACGAATTTCTCGAAGCAGCGGACACCTTTTCCAAGTTCGAGTTTGGCTTGAGTGAGGAAGACAAACAATTTGTCGCGAGGTCGCGGGTTAGGCGTTAAATATTGGCTCAAGATTGGATGTGAAGCTTTCGTTTGAGGTCGTTACTTTTATAGTCGCATGAACTTGTATGCACATCTTGCCAAATTCTTGAAGATACTTTTCAACTGGCCTCTAGGTTCCCGTCCTTACATGTTTTGCATAATGAGGTCATGACTGCACAGCCAGTTCGTGTTTTGAAGAAAACTTTCGCCAACTCGACGAATTGGTCAAACAATTCATCACAACAACTCCTCCCAACAAAAGGGAAATTCCGGATCGGGGAATCGAACCCCGGGCTATCGCGAAAGTGGACAATCTGTCGCATGAGAGGCGATAATGTTAAACCACTACACCAAACCGGAGATGTCAAGAGCGGCACTCGTTAACATCACATCATGGCTATTCAAGGTGTAAATTTGCAACTCTTGCGACTTCAAAACATGAAGATATTAATTGCATACGATGTGGATGTTGTCTACAGAACTAAAGCCGGAGAGTATCGTATGATGCAAATGTAAGGAAACAATCAGCTGGGGACTTATCACAGAAAAGCCTCACTTGTGCCCGTCAGGCAGCGCTACGAGAAAACAATACGAATGACAATGAGACCGAAGAATTATGCTTGCTTATTCGCCTCCCCATCCTCCATCGTATTCTCTGGATTCAGTAACGAGGTCGCCCAGGGAATCGCCTCTGACCAGACACGGGTGGGATCTTCCGACGTTAGCAAGCGCGCGCGGAAGACCTTGTCTTTACATCTTGAATTTTTCTTTAGGTATAGGAAGTGGGACGCGAGCTCGAAGCGGTCGAAAAAGTTCTTCGAGCAATTATTGCACCTGAACTCCTGTGTATACTGTCAGTTTTGCTTTTAACGAGTATTGAATGCCATACTGGAACTTTGGGGCGCTTCTGGGACGGACCGGGTTCGTCGTCGTCGTCCTATAAACAAGTCAGTCCAGACTTTGAATAAGTAAGTAAGTAGCCCTCACCTCCTCGTCCGAATCCACACGCGAATTGCGCTTCCGCTTGGGCCTGGAAGAGCCTTGGACAAACTCCGGGTCAGACCCAGCGCCGCGCTGGATGGCAGTCTCAGGTCATTAGACAGTGTGAAGCGTAGCCGGGATAGAATCCACTCACGTCTTGTTCCGCGATCCAATCCGCAACGCTCAGCGGAGGGCCTTTCGTCGCCTTCTGACCTGGGACCTTGGCCGCAATGCAGAATCGGTCTGCTTTACAGTTTCCCGGATTCTTGGCGTGCTCACGAATATCGAGGTAGCGCTTGCGGCATTTCCCCAAGCACACATGGGTCTTGGGTTGCGTACCCCGACCAAAGGTTATTGCCGGGGGTGGGCCCTAGTCGTTGTGAGTTTATGTAGAGGTGAGGAATGTAGTACTTACCGTCAAGTTCCATTCTTGAGGTGGACCACTCTTTGCGCCGTTGATGAGAATGTGATACCGGTTTTTCTCGCGACATTTGCCAGAATTTTTCGTCAAGTGTTTCCCGATATCGTCGTACGTCTTCCAACACCCGAGACAATAGCCTGGTACAGCTTCAGCCTCCGCCGCTTTGCGCTCTTTTCTCGCAGCCTTCGCTGATGCTTCCCAAGTAAGGCTTGCATTCTCGGTTAGCGGAGGATCCTCAAGATGCGCGAGGTCGACAGACGGCGCCTCGACGGGAACGGCTGCAGGGGGGGCGGGGAGATTGAGGCGGCGGACAATGGTGTGATTGGTTCCGCCGCAGACCGGGAGGCGATGGAAGGCGATGAGATGGAAGGTGAATTCGTGAAGCGTGAATTTCGTTGGGCCACAAGAGGGGACAGGGCACTGGTGGCCATCTTCCTGGTCTTCTATCTCCTCGATGTGTTTTTCGAGGTGGCGCACAAAGTCTCTATTGCTGAAAAACCTAGACGAATGATTTAGCCAAGATAGACTGACAAAGAAAACTCGCGACGTACTGTCTCATGCGATCCTCGATGTCAAGCATCGTATTGTACACACACCAAGGGCAATGAGGAGGTGGGTTCGCGACGCCCAAGCGGATGTCTCCGTGAAATTCGGGATGCCCACCACCCAAACCTGAACCCGGAGCGTACGACACAGCGTCGCGCTCAGCCGTAAATTTGACGCCGATTGGAGTAAGATCGACATCTGTCTCGGGGCGGACGGCGAACTGGTCGTACTGGGTATCATAATGGTCCCATTGATGACCGTTCCAATCCAATCTGTCACCGAGCTCATCGACATGCCTGGATGGACTTGAGCGACTCCGACAGAGAATACAGAGGGGAACCAAGCGTACCATTCGTGGCAAATACCACAGTAGAAAAGTTCTACCTTGTGTCGGATATTGAAGCCGTGGACCGACGCGAAGTGTTTCTCCCAGTCGTCACAGTGTTCTTCGAGGCACACGCCTCCGTTGAGCGCCCATTGACAAGCTCGCACTGGAACCTTGCTCGTCGGCGCTAGACGCAGAGTGAGAATGTGGCTCTGGACATGCTCGACAAACTCGGGTCGCTCCGCGAAGATGTCGTTCTCGTGTTTACATCCCGACCACTTGCAAGCGGAAGCGACGTATGCGTCTTCCACGCGTTCCTGAACGGACTTTTGCTGAGCAGCAAAGAGGCAGGCGTGAATGTGGGAGCCGATGGTTGTGGAGCCTGAATTCCGGAACGCGTTACGGCTGTCAAAGGTGGTCAATAAGATCGACGTGAGGAAACACGCCTACTCACGAGCAGTCCACTCCGCAGCCGGGACACTTCTCATCTTCGGTCGGCGACTCGCCCGGATAGCATGGCGCGAACGGTCGCTCAGGAATGCCCAGGTACGCGTTGACGGCTGCCTCGGTTTCCGCGACCAGGTCGTCTTGCGGGAAACGATACAAGATTTCACAGAGCCGGGCATTCGGATCGATAGCTTCGACATTCGCGAGAAAAGAGGTCTTGGTGATAGTATTCTCTTTACCTCCCGAAGTGATGATGCGAGGTTGGTGAGACTGAACAGATTCCCTGGTTTTATCTTTGAGTGGTGGGCGAGCTATAGCCATGGGTAGCGGAGCTGGAGCAGCCTTCGAACAAACCGCAGGTTAGTCATCAGAGATCATGGCAGACATGCACTGACCTCGCCGCGGATCTGTCGTTCAGGGACCCCCTCGAAAAACTGTTGTCGAGCTTCTTTCACTCGTAAGCGGACTTCTTGGTTGAAGATGAGCTGGTATTTAGCGCGAAGCTGGTCGTGTTGTGCTCGCTTGTGGCGGAGAACACCGTGCAAAGAGGCGATCAGCTCGTCACTGTCGGGAAGGGAGTCATCGACACTCTTGATACTAGTGATTGCGTCGAGAACCTCTTTCTTGTACTGTGTCGTTCTATCTCAGTTGTGTTGTCCCCAAACTCCGAGCGAACACTCACCTTCGCTATCTGCGCTCGCATCGCTACCAATTCAGGTTCAGCTTCCAACTCGGCAAGCTGATCCACATTCAGCCTCGTCGGAGCACCCTCGTGCCGCTCAATGCTGTTGGCGGTCTTGAAAGAAATTGAGCTACTATTCCTTTCCGCTGACAGACGAGAACACACCTGAGCCATTTTTACACGATCACTGTCTTCCTCTCCCTCAAACAGAATCCCACCAACGTCGTTCGTGAGCGATTTGGCTTGGTAGTATATCTGCAGAATGTTGGATGCGCTGCGCGACTGACAGAGAGCGAGAGGTTACATACCGCAAAGGTGCTTACTTGCGGGGCGTGATTGAGCATCGCATCGCGCTGCGCCTCGGTCATATTGTTTTCGAAATTGTTGGCGGCCAATCTTCGCCACCAGTACATGTTGATACACACTGAAAGCAAAATCAATCAAGTGCACAAGACGGAAGAGTAGAAATGACTTACGGAGAAGCCCCATCGCCATACAGACCTTGCGAAGATCCACGTTATGCGTCGTCGCACTCAGCGCCGTTGTTTCTGACGTGTCCCACTTCCCATCCTCTCCCAACTCTTCGCCACGAAACACGGATTGACCCTTGACGGAGTCCTTGATCTTGAGGTGATACTTGGCAGTCGGAGGAAACCTTGGGGCCAGGATTTCATCTGGGGACGCGACATGCTCGAAGATGTTGTCGCGGAAGGCCAGATAGAGAAGAATCGTGACGAAGCATTCGGCGCGGCAGCCCCGAGGTCGAAGGAGGATGTAGATGGTTTTATAGTGCTTTGGGTCGTCCCGGTGCGCTTTGACGTATCGAAAACGGATTGAGACAGCGAGGAATGGGTGCGCAGGGTCGTCGGGATTGGGGACGATGATGAAGCCGACATCGCCCCACTGGAGCGCCTTGTTTGAGCGACGGTACTGCGTGCTCTCTATCATGGTGCCGGGGCGTTCACCGGAGAGGGCGGCGAGAACGTTCACTCCAATAAACTGGATTCTTGCGCGTACGGTGCGAAAGATGGTGGTGTCGTTAAGGACGAAACGGATGATGTTGTCGAGGTCGAGGGCGGTGGCGATCGGCTTCTCGCGCACGCTCTTTGTGGGCGCCTCCATGCTCGTGAAGTCGACAGAACTCAGGTATTCGAGTACCTGATGACGGAGTTGGTTGTCGACCTCCTTGTTTGCGTAACGGCGCCAGCAGGAGTAGAAAATCGAAAGATACTGGACGACCGTGCGATGCGCAGCTGTAGCTCGTATCTGACCACGAACACCTAGAGCGAGGTAGAGGGCGAACGCTTTGACGACGTCTACGAGGATTGTTTGAGCAAAACCAAAGAAAAACGCGTGGAAAACGCGTAAAGAAGAAGACTCACGGACAGGCACCATATTGGCACCAACAACGATTTCGGCATGCAGCGCCTCAAGCGTGTAATAGTCTACAAAATCCCTCCACTTATTCTTGATATTGTCGTGTTTCTCGATTGTCGGTGGGGCGAGAAAGCGAATGTGTTGGATGTTGGCCAGTCCGTTGGCGAAGACGTCCTTGATACGCGGGTCGGCGGCGGCGCGTAGCCTGACGCGCTCGGTGTCGGTGATGGTGGGGGCACCGCGTAGAACCATGAACAAGAAAGATATAGGTACAAGAAAAGCGACGTCCCCAAGTGGACGTGAAGAAGAAACCTAGGAGGAAAGCGGTCCCGGCTTTTATACCTTCTCGGGATTGACAGGAAGGGCGGATAAATACGTACAGAAATGACGCGCCGTCCCAAACAGTATTTGCACTCAAACTTCCTCTTCAGGCCGGTCTTTTCTCCCTGCTTAGCTTTTGTTCTTTTGACGCAAGTGACACATTTCAGCCTGGTTGTTCGGGAGAGTTTTGTGTCGACCCAAAATGGTAGGTTTAGTCCCTTTTCAGGTCTATTCCGTTCACCGACACTGTGACGGCGATG